TTATTGTTTGAGCTATGGCTATATACCCACCCCACCCCATCCCCAAAGTGGGTTCACAGTTTTGAAGGCACTAGCCTGCTGTGAGTCCCCTTTGCCCAGCAAAGCAATAAAATTGCCTCTTTTCTTCTAAGCTCCAAGACCTTGTCTCTGGGTCATTTGGCTCGTCAGGGATGGGGGCCGATCTTTCGGCAACAATAGTATGGGTTTGGGGGAGCTTCCAGAGTGGTGAACACACCCCAACTCCACCGGGACAGAAGATTCTGTGTTCACGATCCTCCCAGAGCTCACCCTATGTATCTCTTCTTCTGGCTGTTTATCTGTGTCCCTTATCCTGTCCTTTAATAAGCTGGTGAAAATAAGTAATTCTGTGAATTCTGTGAATCACTCTAGCAAATAATCGAATCCAAGAGGGAGGAGGTCATCATGGGACCCTCTGATTTGCAGCCAAGTAGGACAGAAGCTGTGGGTAACCCGGGGACTGACTACTTGCAGTTGGCACCAGAAGTAGGGGGCAATCTCGCAGGACTGAGCCCTTAACCTGAGGGATCTGAAGCTATTTCCAGGTAAGTAGTGTCAGAATTGAGCTAAATTGTAGGATACCCAGCTGGTGTCACCGAGAATTCCTTGGTTGGGGAAAAACTCACATATCTGGTGTCAGAAATATTTTGAGTGTGGTAGCAGTGTGAGAGTAAAAGAGAAGCACAGGAGATGGACAGAGGTTTTCTTTACCCAAAAGGACAGGTGAAATGAATAAACAAAGTCCTGGATCTTAAAATTCAGCTTAGTGCCCTTACCTGCAAGTCACTGGAAAGTATCAGTGTGGTAGAATGATTCTCCCAGTGAGGAAAAAAAAATGAATGCTGAATAAAGTATTAAACAAAATATATTTTAAAATGAATCACTGAATTGATACAAAAAAGAGTAATCCATGGATCTCAAAACTGGGGTAAGGGAGCCCCAAAGCCAGCTGGTACTCTGAGGGTTTCTGAAGGACACTGGAGCCAATTTGATGGCTGCCCCAGGAGAGAGATCAGAAGACAAATCTTGGGGTCCACCCAGTAATGTAAAGAAAAAGTGTATATAGACATATAAAGGCTGTAGAGTGCATAATTTACAAATAATAATAAAACATACAATTCTCCTTATTTGTAAATTCAATATAGAAAATTGATTCACACAAAACGCTTGTTGATTTTTGCCAAACTTGTATCCATAGCCAAACCCTATGCTTGCAATTCACTGTAGTTCTAACATGAATGTTGGCTGACACTTTTATTTACATTAAGGAGGGAGATAAAATGAAACAACAAAGACATATGTTGGCACTTCATTCATTAGTCAATAATATGAGCTACTTCTTTGCTAAATCAGACAGTTTTAAATAGTGGAAGAATATTTCCTCAGTTTTTTTTGCATGTTATTCTCAATGTAATGGCTACAGACACAACACACTTTTAAATTTACTCTGAATTATTAACATTTTCCATCACCATTTTAAAGGCTAGACAATTAATAAAACATTAAACCAAACCTTAGTTTGTAGCATTTATTGATGTAAGGAAGTTGTAAGGAAGATTTAAAAATGGGACTCTGCAAAGGACTGGGGGTGAGCCATGCTAGGCGCCCTTCTTCAGCATCGAGGTCTGCAGTCTCATTGGCTGTCCTGTCTCCTTTGGTTCTCCATAGATGGGGATAGTGTCTTCTCTACACTCTGACCCTACAGTTCTTTATCCATGGTGCAGGGGCCTTTGTAGAATCCCCTCACTGCTTTGTTTTGTCTCTCCCACTTTCATTTGTCTTTTATGGTTCGCAACAGCAGGCCATCATCCTGCAAGTGTTTGTTCAAGGCCAGTGCTGTCTGGTGACCTGTGTCTTCCCATTGTTTGTGGAGGTTTCCCAGTCTCTCGTGGGGTTACGAAAGAGTTACACAGCTCAGAGACTCTCCATCTGTCCTGCAGTCATTACATGGAATGTAACTCTGGTGTGTGGATATGGACAATAGGGAAGACAAAACATCTAATAACTACATGAACATTCAGCTCATCTGTATAAACACTTGGCATGCATTATCTCATTTAATCTTCACAGCAACTCCATGAGCTGAGCAGTAGTATCATTCCTAATTTACAGATATGGAAACTAAGGCTCAAAGAGGTGGGGGTGGGGGGTGGGGTGGGTACAGCTTGGTGGTAGACTATGTGCATAGTAGCATGCATGAGGTCCTGGGTTCAATCCTCAGTACCTCCATTAAAAAAGAAATGTTGTTATGTTATGTTAATAAATAACAACTTAAAAAAGGAAAAAGAAAAAGAGTGAGCTAAGGCTCAAAGAGGTTAAGTGAGAGGGGGAGGGTATAGCTCAAGTGGTAGAGCGCATGCTTAGCACGCACAAGGTCCTGGGTTCAATCTCCAGTACCTCCTCCAAAAAATAAATAAATAAGTAAACCTAACTACCTCCCCTTGCAAGAAACAAAACAACAACAACTAAAAAGAGGTTAAGTGAGGCTGCACACGGGACCAGAGGAGCGCCAGGAAGTCTTACCAAGATGTCAGGCTTCTCTGGCTCCTTATGTGTGCTGGTCCAGGAAACTAAACACCCAGAGAGCCACTGAAAGCCCTTGAGGGTCGTGAGAAAAGTCCTCTCATGTGTTTACAGAAAGCCCAGAGAAAAGTCCTCATCCTCCAGACATTCTCAGAGTAAAAAGGAATTCCTCCCAGGAATTAGGGTACAATTCTACAAACTCACTTCCCACTCTGCTTATTACCCTTATGAATAAGTAGACAGTGGAGGTTATGTGAATGACATGATGGGACTTTGGACAAGCCACTTAACCTCTCTGTGCCTCATTTAAATGGAGATTACAATGGTACTTACATGGAGTCATGAAAATGAAATGTTAATATATGTGTAGTTCTTAGGATAGTGCTTGGCATATAGTAAGCACTATGTCACTGTTGGCTATTGTTAAGTTATTATTACCTGCAGTCCAAGTCATCCAGTGACTCCTCCCGAGTTTCAGTATGTCTGGCTGCTGGATTGTCTCCACATGTTCCTGGGGAGTTAAGTTCCTGCATCAAGTCCCAGAGGAGGTCAGGAGGATGGGCAGACCCAAGTGGTTAAGGAAGAGATTGGGCTGGGTGAGCTGAAAATTCAGTGAATTCACCAGGTTACAGAAGTCTTCCTCTTCACTCATTTTTTTTTCCTGTTCTTTTTTAATTTTCGTGCAGCCCCCAGTGTGGTGGGAGGGAAGGGATAAGGCTGAGCTGCCTGGAATAGGCAGAGGGGCCCGGCGAGGTAGGGTAACCCAGGGGGCGGTGGCATTGAGGAGACTCTGACAGGTGACCGCTCAGAGCCGGCAGAGCTCCTCTTTGACTTATCGTGTGCTATGAAGGTACCCCTGGATGGATGGATGGGGCCCAGGATGTGCATTGGTTTCATTCCCACAATGGTATCAACAGAGTTGAGTCAGAGAGCATTGCTTAAATCATCTGACTGATTTGGAATCCTATGTACTCTTTCTCAATATTCTGAATTTACGAGTGTGGTTCTCTTCCTTTTTCTTCTATTTTCCCCCCCAGATCCGCTGCACTTGGTCTCTGGGAATCATGGAGATCAAAGGGTCACGGTGTCCTGGGACGGAGGTTGTCCTATTCATTAAGCTCTGGGAGCATCTAGACAGACGTATTCATCACAGGAGATTCTTAAATTTCAAAGAGACCCAAGGGAAAATCTGCTAGGCTGGCTTGAGGAAGTTCAGCTTTCATTTGTCTGATCTAAGTAGTGAGAATAACTCTTCATAGCCAAGAAACATGACATTAATTGCCAAGGTAGATAAGACAGTGCTCTTTTTGCAGACTTCACCAATGGGACAATGACTCCCTCACTAAGCACCTCTCTTGCTGGAGCCTCCCCAGCACCCTGGGGCTTCACATCTCATTGGGGGTTGACTCCTTAAATGCCCTTGGGTTTGGGGAAATGGAGAGCTTGGGTGAAAAGGGCTCTGAATGCATCCAGGCAATGCTATCTCTTTCACTCCTCAGTCACAGACCTAGAGAGATGAAGTGGCAAATCACCCAGGGTTCTAGGTTGCAAACAACACAACCCATTCTGAGGAGCTTAAGCAGAAAAGGGTTTAGGTGCCTCTAAGAATCTCTGTGAGGGCATGAGGCCAGGCTTAGGAGTTGTGACAAAGCAGAAATGCTGTAAGGAGTGACCACTGCTGCCCCAACTGAGTGCAGGCCAGGTGTGGCCCCTTTCAAGGCTGATGCTGGGCTCTGGAAGCTGGAGATTTCGGCAGCCACCCTCGCCATACTAGGTGGGGCTCCCTTCCCAAATCATAGGCTCTGAGGTTGCATCTGATTGGTGGACACCAGGTCACATGTCTGGGCCCTACCTGCAAAGGAAGTTGGGAAAGTATGTTTCTGGATTTCTATTTTATGGAGGCATAGAGTAAAAAGGTGGAGGAAAACTTCAACGTAAGAAGAGCGTTTTGGGCAGCCAAGAATGGTGAATGTTCACGTATAATCAGCAGCCTAAAATCACACAGCTAAGAACGTCCCCAGAACCAACCACATTGCCTTGAGAAAGGCCTTTGAGTCCTGACCTGCTGCGTGGGTGTGAACCCACCTTAAGTGCCTTCAGGTTCTCACTCTGCCCCAGCAGTCTACAGCATAAAGCTGGATCCTCCTCTTTCCCAGGGTCAGTTATCCCCTATGTATCCCAGAAGCAATGGTTTAATTGTTGCTTTTATGTTGATTGGGCTTTTTTAGGCAAACTCAAATGCCTTCAAGGGCCAGGCAGGTAAATAAGTGGGTGAAGTGAGCAGAGGGATGGCCATGCTGAGGACAGGAAAGGAACTGTAGGAGCAGCCACTGCTCAGTGTCAGATGTTCCTATTGGGAAATATGGACCTAGTGGCCAGATACTCTGAAGTTTCCAGAGAAGTCCAGAACCTGGATTTCATTACATGAAATCTCCAGATGTTTGATCAAATATTCTTGATCATTTAAAAAAATTTTATTAAAGAACTTCAAATATACAGAAAAATAGAGTGATGTTCATCACTCAGACTGAATACTTTTGACATTTTGCCATATTTGTTTCATCTATTTTTTTTCTGCTTAGGTATTTTAAAGTAACAAAATCAAAAAAGCTAATAAAATATTTTCATCCTTCAATAGGTATCTCTTCAAAACATATTTTCCTGAATAGCCAACAATATTTAAGAAAATGAACAAATACCTTGTCTTTACTCAAATTTCTTTCACTCTCCCCCAAATGACTTCTTTAGATGGATTGTTCAGACCAGAATCCAACAGAGGACCAAGAATTCCATTTGGTTGTTATGTGTCTTAAGTGTCTTTAATCTAGAAGAAATATTGGTCTATTTGTTTGTTATTTTTGTGTTTCTACTGACATTGATTTGAAGTAGCCAGACCAGTGTCTTGATGACTGTCCTGTCTGTTTAGACATATGTTGACTGTTTCCTTGTGATGTCACTTCAGTTGTTCCTTTATTCTCTGCATTTCCTGAAACCTGGAAGTTAGATGTAAAGGCTTGATTAAATTTGGCAAGAATCTATCCAGATGATGCTGAAGCTGCCTAATTCATCACCCCAGAAAGCATGGGTAGACACCCTACTAGTAATTATGCTAGATGAAGGACGAGGTTAAAATAATCCCTCCCTTTATAACTTTATATTTTCTTCCTTAGACCAGTCATTTCCCCAAGAAAGGTTTTACCTAATGGTTTTAGCATCCATTGATGCTCCTTGCTGAATCATTTTGTTTCATTAGGGATTGCAAGAGGGTGTTTTTCTAATGCTATAATTTCTTCGACACTTATTAGCTGGCATTTTTCTGTAAAGAAGAACTTTCCCTAATGAATTGGGGCTACTCGGTTATCCTGAAATGGGAAATATTGGTTCCTACTGGAAGGTATTGTCAAGGAACCACATCACAGGCTTCCAAG